GAAAATAGCATCTTCTTAGATAACAAATTCCGCCAACGCCAAACCAATGAAGCTTTTGGGCTGAAATTTTTACCACTTATTAAGGGTGTAAAAAGCCTAAAAAATTCTGAATTACAAGTGTCTGCGATGAAAATTGCATTAATTATTAGCAATTGAAAAAAGCGGACAATTTCGACCATTTTTGAGCTCTTGCGCATAAACAAATTATCGGAATTTAATCGGACTTGTCTTATTTTACAGATTTATTTAATACCTACCATTTTTGTATAAAACTTTTTTTCTCTATGAATAACAGTTTTTTTTACGCCAGTCGAAAAACTACTTTTTCATAATTTTGACCATTGTTTTAACAAAGTTTCCCAACTAGTCTCGAGTAGATTTTTTGATATTTTGTTTATAACACCTTTCTGAACAATATTCCGCAGAAAAACTTCTAATAGTATTTTTTTTCCCCGAAAAAAAGCTATAATGATTGGCCTATAAATAACACAGGGTCGGCCTTCATTTTCCTTGAATAAATGAACTTTAATTTACAAAAAAAGACAAAGTGAAGATAGAACTTTTTCGTATAAGACTTTTCTATTAAAATTCATCAGGAAGCTGTAGTTTAATTTTTATAGATTACACACGCCACATCCTGTATATAGATATTAAATATAATAGTAACAATAATATCTCTACCGCTCATTCTAATCCCAAGTATTAGCCCAGAAGCCGGAGACTTGTGGGGGGAGGGAGCGGCATATTATTGTTCAGTAGACCGCATGTGCGCCAAGGAACGACTTACGTTGGTAAGCCCTAAACACCATTCAATGCAGGAATGAGGGAAACCTGGAAAACCTCATTAATTATATAGGGACTTTTAACTCCATTACATACTTAATAGATATCAAATAGAGAAATAGTAATTACGGACCTCAGAAGTTTATATTTTTATTCTTTATAATGTTAATATTAAATTTGACACCGACAAAATTCAAGTTCCTTTCGATTTTATTAAAGTATATTGGATCTTTGTCTTATAGTTTATAGATTCCTAATCTAAACAGAAAATACAAGACATGCAAAATCGAGATAGGCAAGCTTTCACAGCCATTTCACAGAATTTTAAGAAACGTTTTCAATTATGCTCCGTAAAATAATCGTTTTAAATAATTATTGTAAATATTTTAAATATTTTTTCCAATAATTTAGTTTCCTTCTTATTAATTTATTAATTAATTAGGGCTTAAATAGTTTTCTAACAATTAGGTAACTTTTTATATTTAACCAATCCCCAAACACCCATTTTAGGTTGAAAAATTACGTAATTGTTTGCGGAAATATAGCATAAAATAATATTAAAAACAGTGAATATCTCATAAATATAGTAAAAAGATTCCAATTCAAGTTAGGTCTTAAATTCAACCAGGAATTCAAACCTGTCATAATGCGAGAGGCCCTGTTTATGTAATACAACAGACAACCAGTCAAACTTAGGTAGGACACTACTAGATGGCAACCCTCTTATAAGATCCCTGTCACCATAAAACATACAGGGTCGGAAAGTCCCCATGGTTCATCGGCCGTTACGTGGAGCGATAAAGTAAGTCATAGAAATCCGTGCGATAGAGAAAGATGGCTATAATGAAGGCGTCTAATAGTCACCGCCCATTTCGCCCTTCCACAAATAAGATCCACTTCTTATTTGTGGAAGGGCGAAATGGGCGGTGACTATTAGACGCCTTTATTATAGCCATCTTTATCGCACGGATTTCTATGACTTACTTTATCGCTCTCACGTAACGGCCGATGAACATGGGGACTTTCCGACCCTGTATAATACATGCCCACGGTCTGTAAACATGCCACCCTTGTTAATAGTCGTTAAAAATGACAGGGGTTTTATAAGAGAAATTTTATAAGAGTCGCCATCTAGTAGTTTCCTATCTAAGTTTGACTGGTTGTCTAACTACATTATATGCCAGTAGTGTTCTATTTGAGGAAATTAAGTTAAGTTAGACAACGGCCAAAAGACAGCCTATATAATCGAAAATAATGTTAAAATGTGAAAAAGTTAATTTGTTGCAACTTTTGTTTGTTTGCATTATCTATATTAACAGAGAGTATGATCGGTCTCATATGAGACACGCTGTATATACAGTTTGTATAACTACAAAAATATAAGTATTAACACTGTATAAGTAAATATTTACTTACAATGGTATTAGGTTCTATTAGTATTAATGGATTCAGTACTACTGCGGAATATATAAGTGGCAATGGTGGTTTTAAACAGACTTTAATTATTATCGTTACCATAACGCGTATTGTTCCTTTATGTTGTTAATTAATTTTAATTATTTCTCTGCTCTAAAAATAGATACTATTATCAGCATTTACTTAATTAAAATGGTGCAATTTAAAATTGACCCGTAAAACAGAACTTTTGAAAGAAGTAATTATGGGGATAGGGGAAATACAATTACAAAATAATAAGGATGAACAATATTATTAAACATAGATGTGAAACCCCTTGGTAAATTCTTGGTATTACTGATATAAAATATTATATCTCAAGAATTATGATCAAGTTGGTCACATACAATTTTTATAATTTATTCGAAAATCATGAAATTGGCAACAATTGTTATTTTGAGTGTATTATTTTTCGCAGCGGCAGTTCAGTCAAGAGATGAAGGTATGATTTTAAATTTTAAATAAATATTTAAGTTTCATAACTTGTTTAATTTATATGTTAATCAAAGATTAGGTGTACAGCCAAACTGCTTACATTACTTGGTTTGCCCCTTTATAATAATGTATAAGAACATTATATATACTCTATCACCTTTTTTGCATCTTATTGCTCCATTTTTCTGGAAACCAATATTTAGCTTTATCAAATAGGGACACATTAAAATATGTCACTACTTAATAAGATCGTAGTATCATCCCTAAACAATACTCAATGACCGTCAAGATCATTAAAATAAAATAAACAAGAAAACGTAGAAGCCTCAAGACAGACCCCTACGGTATACTGTATAGACCTATATATGATATTAAAATGAAGAATTCCAGGCATTCGTTTTTAAGATTTTTATTTTAAAAAATACATAAACAAAATTATGGAATATATCAATTATTTCCGCTGATTATTGTTTGTATCTACCCAATTCTGCTTATAAAAACTTTTAACATTTATTGACATTCATGATCATATTCGTCTTAGAATAAATACCCATCCAAATCCCATGCTAGTAAACTCAAATCTTTTATCAAGTTTACATAGTAAGATAGTTACTACATTTTTTTTAATTTTTACCATACCAGAGAAATTTTAATATTATCATTCAAAACCCTGACATCAAATTATACTTATAAAATTGTAGAGACTACTATTGTTTTAAACTATTGCTTTGTTTTTTTTTTATAGATACACCACCACCCTACTTTACTTGTTACAAATTCTGCATTTCCAGAAAACTAGCAGCTGTCACAAAATGGGAAAAAGCGTGCAAATGTGGGTTAGAACTCAGGCAACATCAAGCATGAGGTTAATAGTTAATAGATAGATAATAAAATTTTGTAGTATTGTGGTAATTTAGTTAAGCATATAAGTTCTATTTTATATATGTAAATATAGTACATACATGGAAAATTTGATTTATCTATTTTTATTTGGAGTTTTCTTATAAACTTTCTGTATCTCTAAAAGTAAATGAGATGCAAGTAGATGGGGGTCATTTTCGAGCTTCTCACTCCAGACTTACTGTTATACAGATTTGATTGGGCAAACTGTCCAGAATTTGCATTCTAGAAATTTTCTAAATATGTCTGAAGATGTCGCGAACTGACGAAACTTGGCTTATCTAGTTGAAGGTAAAAATGTACTGAATTCATATACAGGGTGTCCGGTAAATAATGGATAACCTTTTAACTGTGGATGGGGGACCCTAAGGTCAATCAGAAAATCGACTTTTGTCTTAGTACAAAGTACCTTTGTTTTTCAGTTATTTCGTTTTTTTCTTTTGAAATTTCCGCCATAGGTTACTTTATTGGTCACTACGGCCACAAGAGAAAGTATTGTCTTTCAGTTATTTTGCGTAATATTCTTGAATTATGTTATTATCAGTTGCTTATCAGAATTTTTAACTAGCAATAGTAGTTCTTGTTTAAAAAAATCTTAAACTTAAATTTTACATTAGTCAGCAAAGCTACAAACAAAAGCTCCGCAGGGTATTCATAAGAAAGTGCAGAGCCTGCATCAGGGAAGGCGGCAGACAATTTGAACGATTGCTGTAATTTTTAAATAAAATTAAATAATAACTGAAGGATAATACGTTCTCTTGTGGCCGTAGTGACCAATAAAGTAACCTATGGCGGAAATTTCGAAAAAAAATCAAAATAACTGAAAAACTAAGAGACTTTATACTAAGACAAAAGTCGATTTTCTGAACGACCTTAAGTTCCCCCATCCACAGTTAAAAGGTTATACATTATTTACCGAACACCCGATATAAATTAATATGTCAACCAGTGGCACGATGTACGAGGATTAACTATCATTAGAAGAGCAGAAATTCGATGCTACTAGATATTTTTGAAATTCGATTATGAGAAAAGTATTTTGTACCTGAAACCATTTTGAGATCTCAGGGTCTGGAATTGCTATTTAAATTTCCTATTTTTTTTAATACAAGACTCTTCTATGTGGGAAATCATTCATTAAAAATGGATACTGGCGCCACGCTTCATCATCAAAATATTTAACTTAAATTTTCAAACGCCCCCATTGAAACTAATGATTAGAAATCCACAAGAATTATTTATTAATTTTTATAAATCGTAAAATCTACATGAAACTAGTTAAGAAACCTATGAAATATAACAAACACCAAAAAATACTTAAACTATTTTAATACGGTCTCGACCTATGGCTATTATAATTATTCGAATATCCTTTCCTTCCAGAATTCCAAGTATCTGGTGGAGTTATGGCAATATCCATATAATCTCCAATGTTTATTCTAAGCTGGCCGAGGGTTTTTAAATCGTCCGGACCTTTGATACCAGTGGTTGTTGTCCCTACCTCCCTGATGCGGTACATTGATTGCCTCAGATCAGGAAAAACAAATGCGAAACTAAATTTGGTGCCCTTCCTCCTTGCTTCCGGATTAACCTCTTTGACCAACTGTGTCAATTCGTGTAGTGTGGCATCCAACCATGTATATATCTGAAGTTCATTTTGAGGCGTGTTCCCTTTATTAAATTCTGACGATTTGTGATGATGGCCTGTAGATGATACGAATACCCGCAAAAGAAATGGACACACCTGAAAGGCGCACAATAGAGACATAAATTCTGTTTGCATATTAATAATATATCTATATTACCTTCTGTCTGTCTACTGCATCCTCCTTCTTTTCTTCAATAATAAGTTCAACTCCTGCCATTTTAAATATTTCAAATTACTTCCAAATTTAAGTAGAAGCGAAAAATGATAGTTGTTTTATTTTATATTATGTATGGAATTAATACATTAAAATTTCTTGGAGCAAATGTAAAACCCATAAACTACCCGTCCGTAAACAATAAATTTTTGGTTAAATACCACCACAGAACAAAAAAATTAGATATCACAGACTAGTAAACTAGAGGTCTGTTCCAACAAGAGTCAGGGATTGGTTTCGAACCGTCAGAAATGTGCATCCAACTAATTCTTGCAATATATTCACTGAACACATTTAGAACTTGGCTGGCCAAACATTTCGAACGGTTCGGAACCAATCCCTGACTCTTGTTGGAACAGACCTTAGATAGATAGATAGATTGGGGACTGGAAAAAAGATCAATAAAGATCTTGGACTTCAAACCACAGACCCCATAGCCAGCTACATATATCAGAATCCAAAACGTATAATCTTGTGCACAGAACAGATATTCTCTCTCGTTCAACCCACACAACTTAATCTGCATCTAAACCTTAATATTAACAAATCTATTAAGTATAAAATCGATGGTTTAACCCATGAAACATAGACCATGCTCTTTTATTCTTTTGATGCGATGGATTCTATCAATGTATTGTAGCTTTGTTCCTAGTGCACTAGCAATAGTTTCCAGAGGGCCTTTCGATTTGGCAAAAATATAGCTAATAGCAACTTAGAGTTACTCTGAACTGATATATAAGTTGCTAATAAGTACTATTTTTGCCAAAACGAAAGCCCCCCAACAGTCAAACGTAATCGCATTTGATTTCAAACAATAAATTTTGAACCTTATGTAAGTAGGAATGCGCATGCATGTAAATTGCTTTAGGAACAATGCCATTGGTCTGTTTAAACAATCCAAATTTCTGTTTGGTTCTATATATTCGGAAAGATGAATAAATAAATTAATACACCCCAGTTTATGCTTGTTTATGACCCCGCCCTTAACAAAAATAATATAGCCCCCTGGCCGCGGACGGCTTAACTTCCCTAAAACTGTGGACGTGGATAATATCAACAGTTAATAGGACCCTCGTCCTGTATGTCTAATGTTTTCTTTATGCCCGAATATTAAATTTATTTATTTCTACATCAGGTTCGTCATTTCTATGTTTCTATCAGTTAATTTGACACATGTAATTGTCATATATTCAAAATTTAAAGTATAAGATTAAAATTACCCTCATGACAAGTTTAATCGATAATTTAGTTTATTTGTACGAAAATAAGTCCAGAATATATCTAGAAATTTATGAAAAATCCAGGAAACATGGCAGATCGATAATAAACAAATTAATAAAAGAAATTTTATTTAAAATTAAGGAATGTCTGTATCCATTTGGCCACTTCGTCAAGATGGTAATGATGATAAAACTATGGGGACGTGAAAATGAGGATTATGATGAAGACTGCAATGATTTTGAAATAGTAAATTTGGATATGGTCCAAAAATATAGTGATATATAATATTTAAATTACAGGATTATATAGAAATATTCTTGGATAAAGCAAACAATCTACTGTCAGTTTCAAAAAAATGTATTACATGTTGTTCAGAGCGAGGACTGAATGGAGTTAAAAATGTAATTATTTGTTTTTTGATTAAAATGAATCTATCGCCATTTGTATATTTCCTTGAAATACTGATAGACAAAAATAATGCAAATAAAAAACTCTCATACAAACAAGTAAAGAAACAAATAAGTTATGTTAAATAAAATCGTCAAAAAGTTATAATAAGATGTGTTCAATTTTTAATAGCGATGTCGTACCTACCTGATTACACTGAGTGCTTACATTCTATGGAACGAATTTATAGATTGTACAGGGATTTAAAATATAAGTTAAAACGACCACACAGTATGCAACTTACTGTACGACAAGTTATATAATCTAAGAAGATTCGATATGCCAATAAAGTTAATATATCTAGTACAAGTTAATTGTTTGAATGTCAGAATCTTATAATACAATTTTGTATGAAAAGGTTGTTCACTTTATAAAATTTTCATATCGCCGAAGAGACAATAAATAACTTCGAACATATGAAATATTTTGAAATTTCTGTTAGCGGGCCTAAACGCCCAAATGATTGTATTGGATTTTTAAAACATTGAGTAAACAAAAGGATTTACAGAACCTGATTCTTGGATAAGTCTTGATATTTTCAATATATGAAAGTGAATAGTAATGTCACAGAAATCTTCTGTGGTAATGTGGTGAGGGAAAAAAGTTACGTTACGTACACCCACGTACACCAGACATATTCTGCACATGCTCAATTTCTAGTTTGGATTTTCATATGATTGTATTGTACTGTTTCTTTTCTGTATAATTTAAATTTGTAAACAGATGCACACAATCAAATGCTGCCTGCGCGTAAACAATTTGGCTGAGATTTTTAAAGCAGTAATAGCAATCCATATTCTAATAGATAGATATCAGAGACAAGTGGGATAGATGTAGTGATGGGACTACTCGAATGAAAATTATCGATTATATCGATTATGAAAATCTCTCGAGATATCTCGAGTGGTCATAATGAATCATTCGATTATTCGGATACGAATGACAGTGGCCACAGCGTTACTAATACGTGCGCTAGTCGAGTGAGTGCGCAGATGTTTCGATTGTTCCAACGCTCTAACGAGCTACAACATCTCGAGATAAGACGGCCGAGAGGATAGATGAGACAATCGAATATCACCGCACCGACAAACAAGAAAAAAGGTATGCAGGAATTTTACGAGTGGCATCGCGGGGGGTTAGATGGCAGCTTTATTTAGCGGGGATAAAAATTCATATGAATGAAAATAATACCAAATTATGTTTTCTATATAATTTTTTTTTTCAAAAAAATCCCAAACAATGGATCTCTTTAGGCGGCGACTACTCATTTTAAGAACATGCTGCTGAATTACTCAACTGGCAACGAAGAAATATGGAAGAAATGCCCCAATCCGCGACAGTCATTCATTTACCTAACGTCAACATGTTTCGCATATGATTTGGGATAGACCGGAAATTTTCAAAGTGAACTTTCGATTATTCATTCGAATGATCATTCGATTATAAAATTAATTCGAATGGTAACCACTCGATTATTTAATTCATTCGATTATTCCCATCACTAGATAGATGCAACCAGGGATGCAACCAGAGGGCCTTTCGATTTGGCAAAAATAGTAACTATTAGTAGCTAATATCAACTTAGAGTTACTCTGAGCTGATATTAGTTGCTAATAGGTACAATATTTGTCAAAACGAAAGCCCCTCAGGGAGACAATAGGGGTTTACGATAATTGTATCGGAGTGGTCGGATCAAGAATATGCCTTATGAATATTCACTCTGATCATTCGATCCCATTACGAAAATGCAACCTCAATGCTCAGATATAGAAAATCTGAGCGCTCTAGTCGCCCTTGTTCATTTGTCAGATTAAAGTAGTGATGGGAGATTTCGAGTGAAAAATCGAGTGGTACTCGATTATTGAGATAACTCGAGATATCTCGAGATGTTTACTCCCACCACTCGAGTGAAGTCACTGATTGCGTAACCTTTTCTTTAGAATAAAACGAAAAAGTGGTTACGTTTTGAAGTGCGTGGGCTTTTTTTTTTTAGCTACGCTTATAAGTAATATGACTAATACAAACATATTTGTGCGCCGCTGGGATGAAAACGACCAATATCTCGTATCTCGAGTGATCACTCGATTATTAGAAGTACTCGATTATCAAAATTGGTCGATTATGCCCATCACTAGATTAAAGAATGATCTGAAATTGGCGCATGCGTGTTGTTTATGTTTATTGGTAAAAACGTTAAAAAAATTAAAAACAGATGTTTGTGTATAGTCTCCATGGGTTATGTCAGGGGTTATGTCATAAAGAAATATTTTTTTATTGTTTTGTTGACTGTTGTTAACATTGTTGTGTTTAATTATCTTGTCGAAGAAAATATCAAATATGGCAATATGGCAGATAATAATTTAAATATGGTAGATGTAGATGAACATATTACCGAAGTGGTACATCATACATGTACCACTTTACTACTAAACATTTGTATGTACATGTATGTACTAAACATTTGTATTTAAATAGTAATAAGATAGAGGTTAGATTAGATCGGCTTCCTAAGAGCTTACGAAAATAGTCAATTTAACAGAGCACTCTGACCAGAGCAAGTAGCGCTCGGATCAGTTGGTCAGATATATTTCTCGTAAACCCCTTATAGTCTCCATGGATGCAACTGTCAATGCCAAAATGTCAGAATTGAAGTTATTGAGGATTGAGGTTATGTCGTGATCATAATTTGAAAAGGGAATGGAAAAACGTAATTTATTAAAATAAATACTGATTAGATTGTCATTATTGATAAAACACGCAGTCATGGATCAAAGTTTATAAACTATTCGCATGTGTCCAGTCTAATTCTGTACTTCAAAGTTAGTAATTATCTGTTTATATATAATTATATATTTATAATTATATAAATATAATTAAGTATATGCGTTATTATCAAGTGTGAATCAACTAGTGAAATAAGTCGTGCGCTTATATAAATATTTCATACACAATGAGTCGAGAGAAAATGGAAAACATTATCGTAGGTCCAGAACTCGAAAGACTCATCGACGTATCTCTTGGTGAACTCTTATTACTAACCTTGAAAGCTTATGAGGACAACATATTACAGGTAAATATATTTAATATAGCAGAATAAAAGCATGATATACAAAAGAATGTTTCTAAAGAAAAAATATGAGCAACGGCTTAAGTAGGTATATACATTTTGGTTTCATTAAGAGACAGATTTTGCTATTTTTTTTTAAGGTTGACGGTGAGACAAACGAAGAACTCACTGCAGGACTATTATTAAAAAGAGCTGTAAGACTAACAAAATGGTTTAAAAATGAAGGTATAACGATAGGTGACAGTATTTCAATAAATAGTGAGAACAGGCTTGAATTCTGCATTGTTCCATCAGCCACATTTCTAGTTGGGGCTACCTTTGCACCTTTAAACCCTGATTATACAGCCCGTAAGTATTTAAAACAATTTCAATTAAAACTTCAACAAAAAAATTATTAATTTCTAAACTTGACCTTTGTAAACATCACCTCACTTATCAAAAAGTGCTCAAGTTCAATTGTTGCTAATGAGATAATGTTTTTATTTACATTAGTAACTATTTAGTTTGTGCGTTTGTGTTATTTTTGCAATTTATAAAAATATATGTAAATATTTAATTTCTAGGTGAATTAAAACATGTACTTAGTTTGTCCAAACCAAAGGTAATTTTTTGCTCCCCAAGAACTATCGAGAAAATGGTGGGAATTTTGCCAGAACATCCTTACATAAAAAAATTAGTCTTGTTTGGAAAGGAAAAATCTAAACACAAAAATGTGATAATGTACCAAGAGTTGATGGAAGGTATTGTATCTTATATTTTGTAATCTTTTATAAGTGTTCATAATATGAATTTTGAGAATTTTATAAGTCTCTGTTGTATACCTTTGTATCGAGCTTTGTATGGTAATTATGAAGGTCAATTCTGGCTTTAATTTTTATTATACTAACTATCTTGAAAATATTATTATGACAATTTAAGAGGTGGATACCCTATATAAGATAATTATGTGAATATACCAGAGTTCTAAAATAGTAGCTAGTAAGTTTTATAAATAAATCAAACCACAATTTTTACAAGTTCTCAATCAAATCGAATAATTTTGTGTATTCTCTACATACAAATCGTGTTGTGCCGTCAATTTCGCATAATGTATCAATAATATATTCAACCTTCGCACACGTACTTGGAACGTTCTATTATTACACAATTTTTTATCGTTACTTATCGTGTACAAAAAGAAAATGACCAGCACTGCATAGTTTCATTTCACAACTGGTCAATTTCCAATTTAGGTATTTACTTTTGCGTCATATTCGTGCAAGTGAGAAAAACATTATTCTCACATTTTAGTTATTCTAGTATGTATCCAAAAGTGGAATCATGTGTGAATGTTAGTGATCAGTCTGTTAATATAGTAGTCGTAAATGAACATATTTAACCAATCACACAAAAATGTTCTATGATAAACAATTTAACTTTGAGTATAAGATGTACAGTTCTTTAACAGAAGTGTCTGTCAGAACACAAAAAAGAGAAGCACATGGTAGGAAAAAAATTGAAATTGGCATTTTATCTTAAAAACGAACTTCCAACAAAGAAAATTCTGTTATCAGAGAAGAGAAGATTATCACAAAGAGTTTTGCTGTGTATTATGCATGAAATAAACTTTCGTTATTTAAAACAAATTTGAAAAAGATTGTTCATAGAAAAGGATGAAATTGTAGTATGCTGAAGAGATTTTGGGAATCCAGAATGCAAAAACACCAATATTCTCCATAAAGAGGGTAGTAAGGTTTTTTTACAAGTGGCTGAGAAAATAGTAACCATGAATTATGAACGCACATGCTCCTAAGGTCTGTCCAGAAGAAATACCAACTGATTAAACAAAATTACTCCCAGATACAAGTTCTCTCTTCCCTTCCCTCTTTCTTCAGTTTCTCAAATATCGAATAAATAACTATACTAGTGAATAACTTACTGGAAAAACCCACAACTGGAATAGACGACACAGCATCGGATAAGAAGAACAATTGTGAGCCTGAAGTGATAGCATTAGTGACAATGACAGTGATAAGAACAACAGTGATTTTACTAATGCTTATAACAGTCATTTCTATAGCCTGCATCTCATTTTTCAGTAATGTTCTATTGGTAGATTTAGTCGTATCACTGATTTTGCATATACCTTATACCAATATGGCAAAATTGCTAAATACATACTTTAGCATATATAAAAACGTACCAACCGAGGCGAGTATAAATTTATAATAATATAATTTTTACCAAACTGGATATATCTATTGTCCTTCTATATTTAATAATTTCTCTAAAATGAGATGCTAATGCAATCACATTCTTCAAATGCCTTATCTATCACACGGATTTACACGGTCTACCATTTGGGACTATTCAAAAAAATTCCCCATTATTTTTATTCAATAGTTAATTGTTTTAGGACCCTGAAAATTAAACTAATTTCCCAATTTGTTTATACTCAAAAAATGTTAATAATTTTCATTCTTCTATTATCGAAATGTTTGTCCTTTACGTCAAATATTTTTAACTATTCTTTAGATATTCAACTTATCAATATTAATTTAAGGTTGTGAGGCCGAAGCTATAGATGAATCATTCAACGCCACCCCGGTAGACCTAAAAGAAACTGTGGCAACAATTTTGTGCTCATCTGGAACAACGGGTTTACCGAAAGGCGTTATGTGCACTCAGGATAACATGACAGCATACATAGATGTAGCTCGGTAAGCAACTGAAACATTAGAAGAACTCTGTAGTTACAATCTGTTTTTTTCAGGACATTATTTACTGAGATAGTCTTTGCCGAAGACGTTAGTGACGCATTGATTGGACTTACGCCATTCTTCCATTCATTCGGTTTTATGATGATGTTCCTAAATATTATAAGAGGCAAAAGGATGATAGTATTAAGCAGATTTAAGCCAAAATTATTCCTGGATGTCTTAGTAAAATACAAGGTATGCTTTAGAATTAACAACACTATATTGGACATATGAACTCCTAGAATTATTTTATACAGGGTGTATTTTTAAATGGAGGGCCATATTTATATAGTGGCTACCACTGGCCTTTAAAAACACATATTATAAATTTGTTTTCTCAAATTATATTCATCATGCATTGTTGTCAAATATTATCTTCCTTATTCGGTCGTCTAATATCCTGGAGTCGTCATATCAGGAGGATTGATATTGTGTAGCTCACCTAAATTAAAGTAATCTGGTTTTATAGAACTATTTTCTATTGCGGTTTTGTTCTCCGCCTCACCGTTAGTTTCATACAGTTGGTTTAAAAAGGTAACAACAAAAAATACCGACAAGCGTGCAAACAACCGAGTTCAGGAGCTGCCCAGTGAAAGTATTTAAGTGTAAAGTCAGAACTCAGCTAATTATTTGATTAAAAAATGAATATATTTCAAATTAGCATTTTGGGAGACATACTATTACCACAGCATATAAAACAATTAATTGTTTTATTTGCTGTGCTATTACTCCTAAAATACTGACCCTCCCACTTAAGGTTACACCTTGTGTTAGACTATACTAAAATTTTATGAAAACAGAAGTTTTACTTACAGAAGTTATTAGAAGGCAATATACAAAATTCTAACCTAATTTTAATATTATTTTCAATATTTGGAAATAAATTTCTTTCGACCATTACATAAAATTTTGACTATACTTAAAATATTTTTTTAGAATTTCTTCCAGTAGTTTTTTTTTTGCAATTCCTGTTATTGAAAAAAAAATGTTGGAAAGTAATATTGATTTTATTGTAAACAAACGTTTTATCAAAAAATAAATTATTATTTACTACCAGAAATATGCAACTGATCAAAGACAATTTAAAGTCTCCTGGTTGAAGTGGAATGTTATACGAGATTCGTGACAACCATTTCAAGATCTGCAAATTTGGGAAACTTTAACTAAGTACAAAGTTTGTGACAATTTTAGGTTTCCCGATTAATAGTCCCGCCGCCAATTTACTTATTTTTACTGAAACATCCCTTAGCCAAACAATACGATCTGTCGTTCATCAAGGAAATGCGTAGTGGGGCTGCTCCTATGGGAAAAGATATGGAGCGAGATTTGAAAGACAAGTAATTAAAAGACAACTCATTGTGAAAGATAATATTAAAAACAATGCTCAATTCGCAGATTCAAAATAAATCATGTGTCACAAGCTTACGGCATGACCGAAACCACTTTGGGAGTCCTAGCTACTCCGTATGGAGAAGCGAAAATTGGATCTTGTGGCAAAGTTGTTCCGGGAATGATGGCCAAGGTGCAATTAGTAATATTGTAATTACAGTTCAAATGTTCAATTTGTAACAACTTTTTTAGGTTATAAGTGAAGAAGGCAAGGCTCTGGGTCCTTACGAGGAGGGAGAACTGTGCTTCAAAGGTGTTTTAATAATGAAAGGCTATGTTGGAGACCTAGAGGCGACTCGTAACACAATCGACATGGATGGGTGGCTGCATACCGGAGATGTAGCTTATTACGATAACGACGGATACTTTTTCATTGTCGACAGGATCAAAGAATTAATCAAATATAAAGCATTCCAGGTATTTGCAGTACTAGTATTTGCGGATTTCCAAAAGTAAGGAATGATTTGTAGGTAGCACCAGCCGAACTAGAAGCTCTGCTTCTGACTCACCCTTCAGTGCAGGATGCCGCTGTGATCGGACTACCGAATGAAGAAGCAGGGGAGTTGCCGCTGGCGTTCGTTGTGAAAAAAGCTGGCAAGAATATAACTGAAAAGGAAATTGAAAAGTTTGTGGCAGGTAAATATGTGTGATAATTTATAGGGCGCATTCAACCGTGCAAGCATTGAACTATAATCACTACAAGGTCGGAAAGTCCCCATGGTTCATCGGCCGTTACGTGAAAGCAATAAAGTAAGTCATAGAAATCCGTGCGATAGAGAAAGATGGCTATAATGAAGGCGTATAATAGTCACCGCCCATTTCGCCCTTCCACAAATAAGAAGTGGATCTTATTTGTTTCTTGTTTGTTAATTTCAGCACTTACCTTAGTGCTTACTCAACGCCTGGACGATTGATATGCCCTTTGTCTTTTCTTATTTAGTTGCAGCATAGTTCATTTTATTTTCTGGTTGTTTGGGTATTTTGCCCCATGATATGAATCATTAAATATACCCCTGCACTAAATAAATACAATTTTTACTACTTCTTAATCCGATAAAATAATTTTGTGTATTCTCGCCATGAAAATTGTAATGTGTTGTCCTTGCTCCTTGCTTTGTTGTCGACGAACACGAATTATAAATAAAAATGACTTTCCAATAATTTATTTAGCCAGGTACTGTTATACTGTTTTTAAAAGATTCCAGTCTGGCTTCTGTAAACAGAATCTTGTTTATGCAGACAGAATGGCAGATTGGAGACAATTACAATGACATAAAAAGAAAAAGTTAATTCGTGGAAGGTTACTTCTTCCAAAAGAGTTTTCAGTGCAAGTAGTTTGTCAGATTATATGTATTTAAAATAATTTTTAAAAACTTGAGGAAGATTTTTTATTCAACAAGAACAGGATTTTCGTTCTCATAGAAAAAGTAGCTGTACAGGATGTTTGTAAATAAGTGCTAAATATTTTAGGGAATGATTACCGAAGTTATTTTGTGAAAGAAAGTTCATAGAAATGTTTGGTCAAAATATGCTTCGTTTCCGAGATACCGAGTGTTTAAATTTTAATTTTTCATTTATTTTTATTAATTATTTCAAATAGTTTTAAAGGTATCGACTCGATTTTTAAAAAACGCTTTGGAAGGATAAATGTGCATTTAGCAGCTATTTTTCACTGCTCAGTTTCCAGTTGTTGTCATTGCTCCACAAAAAGAGCAGTTTAGCCCATCTCTAGTGTGGAAAAAAATATAAGGTAGAATGCTAGAATTGAACAGTCTTCTCAAGAGAATTGGGCTAGGCCTGTAGGAGCAGCCCGAAAACGAGGGCAGGTGAAATTCTGCTATAGGCCAACGAATAGAGGTTTTGTTTTGGACAAAAATACTAGTAGCAAACGGACTGTGCCATCATATAAAAGATAGTCTGTAGATATATACTTATATGTTTCCTACTCCAATATACCATTATTTAATTTTTTATAAACATTTTTATACAAAAAAACGTTTTTTTTTTTAGTTTTTTGCTTATAAAACCTAACCTAAAGAAGCAGTCTGAATACTATAAAAAGACAATAGAAGAGAATCGAAATACGAATAAAACGAGAGGTCGATCGATCCAATCTGATAATTAGAAATGAAGAAAACCCGGAAAAATCGGAAAATTTTGCGTTTTTTTAAAAATTCATTACTCCGCCATTTTAAGTTGTAGAGCTGACCCTGTGCACAAAAGTAGTAAATTATATGTACTTTAAGTGTGCACAAAGCAGCCGCTGTCGGACCATTAGTTTGCACAATTGCAATTTGAATTTTTTGGAGCACTATTTTGCAAAGTATCTGGATGCGTTAGAGGTGGTTCGATTTTAATTTTTCAGCCGGATTTTAAAAGTAGAAGTATAATACTATAAAACGTATATTGTAATTTTCCAATAAAATAATGCAAAATAGGTGAAAAATTCTTCCAAACCTGCTCAAAAACGGCAAAGCACGCGTACGCGGTCGAGTAGTGGGGGAAGATCGGGAGATGAGGGGCATTGGATATATAAGTATACAATTTTGAATATTGTCAACAACCAAAAGCAACTGCTTTTTACACTGAATCTAAGCATACACAGTGAGAGTGGTAAGAATACACGGAATCACAATGATGTGAAACCTGTGGACATTTCTTGTTTTCTGCCTGTATTTTTAGACATTTACGTGAAATCTTGATATTAAACGACATTACAACCGCAAAAAGTGTTATACTTTAAATATCAGCATTGGCCTTATAACCACTATCATATGAAACATTTAGCTATAGAAGCAGATGAACAAACCAAATTTAAACAATCAAATTTATTTAAAAAAAAATGCCAGCCAATAGTTTTGAAATTGAACAGAATTTTGAAACAAAGTTTGAAATAGTAAGGCATATTTTTCATTTGTCTTCTTCTTCAGTGTCAACATTTTATGCTAAAATAGTTTCATAAAAACAACCCTCAACTGATCCTTTTGACACAGCAGTTTAACTGTAAATTTTTTTTCACAGTTGGCAAAATACCCAAAGGAACCTAAAATATATATTTTATTAAGTTTCTTTTCAATTGATATTTTTTACAGATAGTGTATCCCCACAAAAGCAACTGAGGGGAGGGGTGATATTTCTAAAAGAAATTCCCAAAAACCCAACTGGAAAAATTTTGAGAAGAGTGCTCCGAGAACAGGCTGTTAAAATGAAGTCAAAGCTTTAAATGGTGGCTTTCTAAAACTATTTTAAATATGTTTTTAGCTTCTTTCAATGTTGTAAATGCTTGTTAAATTAATTTTAAAGACAAAGCCGTTTTTCAATGTGCCAGTAATTATTAAATGAGTAAAGAATTGTGAATTATTACGTTATCCTTCTATACAAAGGAAGGGATACAAAAGAAAAAAAACATAAAGTTTATGATTTATTAACATCTTTTTTGAATAAAATCTAAGGGAAAAAGTCCTTTGCATACCGCCCCTTCCACCTGGGTAAGTCTGGTCTAAATTTCCTTGGGATATATCTCGGATTCCTCTCATCCAACCTTCTCTTGTGTGGATGAATGAACAGTTCAAACGGTCTCAACTTTTTATCCATAAATCTCGTTTTATTATCAATCTTGTAAATTTTTTCCCAACTGTAAATTTCGTCCAGTTCCTTATGAGGAGGACGATGTGACGAAAGATTTTTATATTCTCTTTCTAGCCATTCTCGTTTTTCATCGTCTTCATAATCGGCGGATACTTTCTCCTCTGAACTCAAATACGGCGTTAAATTAATCCCCAATCTACTTTCTGGCGCATTAACGTAAAATTTCAGAAGTAATTTAAAAACATCTTCATTCAATCCGATGATCTTCCCATCCTGTATCTCCTGATACAACTGCAATTCCTCAGTTCCCCAACAAATATTCGTTTTGGGGTTCTCCTTCCTATATTTCGAGTGCAAAAGCATCGTGTTCATCTGGTAAGCATAAAACGACCACAATTTGCCATTTGTAATAACCGTCTGTGTAATAAGTGGATAAGTAATATCGTTAAATGTCGTAAATCCTAACAGATTGGCTTGGGCACTTAACCAACCAAACGACGCCAAAATGCCTTGTCTGTGTAAGGCTTCTTTGTCGTCCTCGGGGTCCCCGTAACTCTGTTGTCTGGTTAACATATGACCCCTCTTGTGATATGATATGAGACCAAATCGGTGAGAATCTCCTGGCCAAAAGCCTAAAAAAAAAAAAATTAGAAATACTGTAGTTATTTATACATGCAGAGGTGTAACATCTGTACTTAAAAAAACCTGGAGAATATGTTCGTGGAAAAATAGTGAGGATAGTACATACAACATATAACCTCTACAAAGAATAATACAAAAAAGGCATACTAGTTAGAAATTAAGATATATATTTTTCCCAAAAAATTAAGATAAAGAAGCTCTTTGCTCACAGAAAAAGGCAGAAGTAAATTTAAAAATATTAACTTCAAAAGATATGCTACTATAATTTCACCTAGTATACTTTCTTTTACATTATTCTTTGGGGTTTACAAAGTTTAATAAGAATAAACAGGACACTCTATGTAATTTCAAATTTACCAGGTACATTGGCCATGTGCCTATGTTCAGTCTCTGTGCCCACAACTCTAGGGTCGTACTGGAAGAACGGTACTACTAAGTCGGGATTTTCGGCTTCGGAAAAAGGAACAATTGTCTTTAATGGTAATTGAGACCGAACAGTTAAACTTGGGAAACCGTGGTACACCATTAATCGGTCGACGGGATCATCTACATATTTTTTCATCCACTCCAAACCTTTGCGAAGTCGTTTGATATGGTCTGGAGAATTCATACCGCCAGCATACCAAGTAGATTCAATTCTGGGATCTGTATCAATCTTAAAATAAACAATTGTTAATCCTAACATAATTATATAATAAAACTGGAGTTACCTGGACATCTAATAAATGAGAATGACTTTTGCATATTTTATTTATGGCTAATCTATTTAACTGTTTGCAAATAGAAGTACTAATAATATTTTCCAACTCTACTTCAGATGCATTGCTGTCTACACCATTCATCCTTCTAAAAAAATTGTGAAAGGGATTACTTGGAAATAGAGTAAATAATTTACAACTCACTTATACCCTTCAAGTTCTATCAAAATAACCTCTTCTAATTCCGACTTTATATTACCAACTAAATCATCTACAGAAAATCTTTTATAATACTCCGGCAAATCATTGTTAACAATCAAATGTGTCTTTGTTACATGCTGTATGAGAGGTAAATTGTTATAGGGCACATAATCTTCCTTAAGCATATAACTTTTAAAACCATAAAACCGGGGCATGTTTAACTTAATTTGTTTTTCCTCCACAGTTTTAACAGCTTTAATTTCCTCATGCATTGCCTCCTTTTTCCGTTCTAGCCTCTTTTCGAACGACAAATCCAATATAGGAGGATACTGTGGGGTTGCAGTGTATTCCTCTTCATTTCTTACAGCGCTGGCCAAACTCCTTACAATCACAAATTTTGGGGTAAAATTTTTATTTATTCTAATTACACTCATTTTCTTGACAGAATACGTATTTTAAATGTGTATTCCATCCATATAAGTAAACACTTTTGTTATTATATGCAAGGTTTAAAATAATTGTGCTTTAATATCCTCATATAAAAAGTAAGGTTATCTTGTAATGATTTTTCTTCTTCTTCTTCTACACTCTTGCCTGTTGCTTGCTTCCCATAATAGTAAATAAAAACTAGATTGCGTCAACTAACAACTGCATATACTGGGCGACCGCAAATTAATGGCCAACCTAAACGACGACAATCTTTGTCACGCTTTTCGTGCTGATATAATGGTTCCTAAAGATTATATTCACAAATCTGGTTTGGGCAGTCAGATTTCAAACAGTATTATAAATTACAACATTTGTTTAAGTTCGAAAGGTCGATAAATAAATTTTTGGTTTACATCTTATTGACTGAGTGTATGAACTTTGGCAAATTGGCTATTTTTAGAGACTGTCATAACACTCATAAAAGCTGTTTTACATTGACAATTTATTGATCAATTAATTGATGAAGTCGCTTCACCAAGAAATTGGACAAGTGTAATGCACCACATCAGCTGTCAAATAACTTCATTAATTTATTCATCAAGTACTTGACGAATTAGAGCATGTTCTAATTTTCGTCAATAGGGTTGTTGACTATAAAAACAAACCATATACAAATTGTTGTTGATACAAAGATTTTATATAAAAGAAACTGCCTGTATAGTAAAATTTTAAATATATGCCAAATTAGTGGTAGAAATCATTTATGAATTTTTGTGTTACTTAAAAAATAGTCTGACGTCATAAGGGGCAATTGAGCAAGAAGGTAGTAGCGATCCTATTGCATAATTTTGAGGAAGAAAATATATCAAAATTGTCCATCAAACCTTGTTGCCCTGTTTTCTGTTCTTTAAATAAAAGTGACAGTAGTGACACTAGTGAAAGCAGTCTATCAATAAAGAGTATTTGTGATAGTTATTATTAATTTCCTGATTGTAATGGATTCAACAAAATTTAAGTGGTGTTTTGTTCCACATTCCACATTCCACATAGCCAATCTCCATAAGACTTCCGAACTGCACTATAATTTTCCGTAAATAAATAGGTATTTATATTTATTATTTATATTATAAATAAACACAATAAAATCATTCATCAAATATGTTTATCCTTACCTGACTGTTTTTATACCTTTGATTTTGCCAATATTAAAACGGTCGTCTCTTTTTGAAAATTCAATTCATGATCATAAAAATATCAATTTTCGGTAAAATTTGCAAAGTAGCTTTCACAAATCCCGTTTCACACATTCTGCTTTAATTCTAAGTGGACTGAAATAATAATTTTACTTAATAAAGGAATTCCAAGATTAAGGAAAATAACTCATAGACTTGAAAATATTTTATGGGACAATGTTGTTACTGACAGACTGACACTACAGACAGTGTTGACAGAGCATCTTCTTCCTCCAATTTTTTTCCTTTACGCAATCATCTACACATAATTTCACTACAAGGTGCCCCTTATGACGTCACAGTCGTTTTGAAATGTTATAAAAAAATCTGTTTTAAATAATTATTTTAAAACTGTTCCGACGTATTTCTCAATCTTTAATTGTGCATACACACTAATTAGTACGTGTAGAATTATATTATCTACTTTTTGAAATTTGGTCAACCCCGCCATTATTCCATGGCTAGAAATTGGCCTCAATGATTTGGGATCGAGGGGGATTATCCCTCTTTATCCTGCCTCATCTCGTGTAGGCCTGGACAGCCTTCGTAGGTGGGCCCCATCCGTCGTCTACCCCGACCGCAAATGCGGCCGGTGTAGGCGCTTTGTGGGACCTCCTTTTGTCCTGGCTGGGCCCCGCCGGCTAGGGCCCTTTCTTCTGGCGCTCTTCTTGCTTCGCCGGCTCGTCTGTGTAAACCCCGGGGGTAGTGTCATGTTTATGTGTGGTATGGTTGGGTAGGGTAGTGCGGCTATGCAGCCTGGGATGCGCTTTGCTAAGGTGGCCCTTAGGCTAGCGCGGGAGGG